CAAATACGTCTAAAAGAATACTATAAATTAAAAAAAAAAAAAAACACACACACACACAAATACAATTCTGGGAGAAAAAAAGAAGAGAGAAAATCCCCAAAAATCTAGGGTTTTCTTCTCGTCAAATTCGTTTTCCTTGTACGAAATTTCATTACTTTCCGGTTCTCGTGTGTTTCCCAATCGCTTCTCTGATATTTTGTTTTTTGTTGGATTCTGATTCTTATGGTCGATTTCTTTTCTTCCCTCTGAACTGTGCAAAACAAAAAAAAAAATCGTAATCGATTATTAACTGGAGGAGGGTATAAACTTTTTTGAAGTTATCTTCCTTAGAAGGCGATTGCAAGACGTGAATTTCCTCTGGTATGCTGATTTTTTCCTCTTCTTTTTAAATGTTTTCGCTGAATTTCGTGAAGAAAATTGAATCATTACTTGAAATTTATGAGCCTCTGCATTAATAGACGTGCCTTTGAATTGCTTAATAGCCTTAAAAATTGCTCCTTTTTATGTAGTTGAAGAGTTTATAATTCGACGGTCTAGTTATGAAAAACTTGTTTTTGATTAGTGAGACATATGTTTGACCTAATTTTTGAAGAGATGCAATCGAAACCGGGAAGAGGAAATGAAGTAGCTGAGGTTAATCACCATGGTCTTCAGCAACCGGTGATGTATCCAGAGCCCTGGTGGAAAAATAACACTTTTGGTCTTGTTCCTCAAGAGAGACCTTCTGGGGTTCAGTCGAATTCGTCTTCTTTGGATTGCCCGAATGGTTCCGAGTCAAACGATGTTCATTCTGCATCTGAAGATGGTGCTTTGAATGGTGAAAACGATAGTACTTGGAAGGATTCACAAGCTGCAACTTCGTCCCGTTCAGGTTTGTGTTCTTGGTTTGTGACTGGAGACATCATTCCGCAGTATCGTTGTTGTCATCTCTTTGGACGTTTATGGATTACATTACATTGTTAGATGGCTACTAAGCAACGTTATTCTCGATGCTTATTTTGCAATTTGCTGAAGGATCGTGCCTCAAACAGGCAGAGGAAAAATTAAAAAGGAATTAGGGTGATTTTGGCACCATAGGACATGCGTAAAGGCATATAAGTAATGAAATCTGATCCCTGAGATGTACTTGCACTGTAGTTGTTGGTTTTAATATTTCTGTTAGTGCAAAGGAGATTCTGTCTCTCTGAAATGTGGCATTGCTTCTACTTTCTTTTCCTGCATGTGTAATGTTGTATTTCTTCAATTTCAGTAGCTAACCATGGAGTCGAAGGGAATGATCCAGGGCATTTGACGCGTAACATGCATGATCCACAACATGTACAACCACCAGAGCTTGTTGGACACTACATTGTATGTGGTTTGCCTATTTCCTTTGATTATTGGCCCCCTGAATATGTTGTGTTATCTTGTACAACTCCCTTGATGTGTAAGATTATCTCAAACTCCATTTTCAGGCTTGTGTCCCAAATCCTTATCAGGATCCATGTTATGGGGGAATGATGGGAGCATATGGTCATCAGCCATTGGTATATTGTCAAAACCTCGCTCAGTCTCTACAATAGATCCATATGGTGTTGTGTTTATTTGACGTATGCGCACCAGTGACCCTTTGTGG